GCTAATTGTATAAAGCAGTTAAAAGTAGCTCAGAGGCTGCAGATTAATCAACGCATCTGTGCTCCCTTGAGGTAAACTGAAGAAGAAACTTTTCATTGAGAATAAAGCAGCTGTTTTAAAACAGCTACTGGAAGAATCATTCCTTCACAGATAAATGCAGAATAATATTCTGGCGGTCCTGCATTGGACACATTTAATATCATTTTTGATGCAGATTTAAATGCATCTACTGGTTGGAAAGTGATTAATCAAATTATTTGAAGTACATATTTTAGCATTATTCTGTTATAGTGTTTAGTTGCTGTGTCCGCCTCCAGTACCCGAGGTCCCCAGTTTGAGTCAGGACCATGCATGATTTAATTCAAACACTCACTGTTGACTTTTTGTTTCACACAGGAAACCAACACTGGTCTCCTGGGTGAAAGTTTCTGGCACACCCGTCCACCTCCAACCGCCTCCTTACTCTGACTTTACTGTTATTTAAATCCGACACTTACTTTTAGCACTCATAAGTGACACTACAGGGCTTCCCCTAGTGTGTTACAAACTGACGCCGAGGGGTCTTGACCATACGCCCACGTGTGAGTGAGAGACGGGTTGGAATAAACCACCTGTTTGTTCCTCTCACCTGTACACTGTGCACTAAAAATACCACACAGACAAGCTAGTTTAAAGGTCAGGAGAGCTCTGTGTGAATGAAGGGTTTGCTTGCCTCATGCCCCTTGAGGAATAAATCAAGTATTTTGAAATGGACTGAAGTTGAGTCCATGTACAGCAGTCTGTGAGCAACAGTAACAGAGAGCTGTAGCTACGTACAAATAAGAGTTAATTATACTTTACTTGAGTATTTTTTTTTGTTTTAATGCCACTTTCTCCTTCTGCTCCATCTCAGAGGGAGATATTGTACTTTTTACTACTACATTTATCTGACAGCTTCAGTTACTAGTTACTTTTTACAAGTTACAAATTAAAACTATTACACACATAACATGTGATGAATTTATAAAATATGATATTTTATTATAAATTAACTCCCCAACAGTTTATACAAGTACAGCTAGTACATTAGATGATTGACAGAAATTTTTCTATTAACTATTTTGATACCACTATTTTGTCATGTCAGCAGCCCCTGACAAACATAACTATAATTTTTTCTTAAGTATTTTTACACCTACTTGCTGTACTTTTACTAAAGTAGATATTTAAATTGAAGACTTACTTTTAGTGGAGTAATATGTAGCAACTGTATCTGTACTTTTACTCAAGTACAGGATTTATATACTTTATCCACCACTGGTGAGCAGACCCAAATAGAGAAGGTTTTAACCAAAACGAATACAGAACGGATCGTTACTGAGACAGATGTTTCTGTCACAAATTGTGTTTCAGCCCAAAGTTTCATATTACATTTAAACAGAGAAAAATGATGAATGTTTAAAAGATTAATAAAAGAGAAAAGAAGGTGTTTATCATTTCATTTCGATCAATGACACAAACCATCAGTAGGTGTGTGAGTGTGTTCATGCTGCCATTAGAGAATCAATACAGTTTTACATTACTGTGTGTGTGTGTGTGTGTGTGTGTGTGTGTGTGTGCAGGCTGATGGTCAGTATTGATCAATACTGTTGTGCGGACAGCTCTCATCTCCACGGTAACCAGCAGCAGCCCATAATGTTGCTGCTGATGCTCCGTCCTGGAAAGTATGAAATAAAACGTGTCTAAAAATAGACCGGCGCCGGCTGACAGCCAATCAGAGAAGGGGTGAGTCCGGGAGAGAGAGTGTGTGGTGCTGAGTCACATCCAGGTTCCTGTAAGGACAGAAAGGGAGGATGACTTCTCCTTCCTCCTGTCCTCGTCACCTGGATGTCCTCCCCCCGTGTTAATATTCAGCATGTTAGCGAGCTAGCTTAGCATCTGCCCAGCTTTAGTATGTTTTGTAAAATAAGCTCGTACCTTGTAGCTTCGGTGTGTGAACATCAGATATATCTTTCACGCATCACGTCTACTCGTGGGCAGATATTTGGAAGCCATTCTGAACCAGTACCATGTCCTAACCACGACCTGGCAGACCCCCCCGCTGCGTTGTCTGCAGTTCCATTTCATTAATATCTTTGTATGTTTTCGTCAGGATTAGGCTGAAATATTTAGTTCAGGACGAATGAGCAAATTCAGCATATTGGCGGAGCTCTTTCTGCTTTCTTCCCTGTTATTGTGTGAGTGTGGGGGCGTGGCTATCTCCAGCTGGCTCCTCCTCCTCTCCTTCACACCTGCTGGCAATCATCTCGTGACCCCCCTGCTGAAATACTCCTGGTTTCCAGACAGTCAGATTGTCAGCGTGTCACAGTGGTATCACACCAGTTTTCTTGTGCTCTTTTTTTTCTAATCTGCCTGTATTGTTTCCTGTGCTGCAGAACTCCGGCTTCTTCTATGTCTTCCACGCCTCTGACCGCCGTCGTCTCTTCCCCAGTCCCCCCCTGCTTTATCAGCTCTCATTAAACTTGTGTCTGTGGAACCACTAAAGCTAAACACTGAGCTCCATTGAATACCTTTTTGAATGTTGATGCATGATGTCCACCGCAGTGGTCACATTTCAAAATAAAATACACTGGGGGTTACAGACGTAATTTTTCTCGTTTCAAAGTAAAAATAAACATAAAAACTAAATGTATATGCATATACAACACATCAAATGAAATCTGGTAGAAGATGATGCACGTACAGATGCTGATTTTTTTAATAAGCTATTTCTCAACATTACCCTGGCTGGTGATCGGATGGAGACTCAATCTAACTGATTGTGGTAGTGAGTAACATTCATGTGATGATCTGAAGGAAGTGGGATGTTCAGTCCTTCCCTGCTGCAGTAACTCTGTAAAATGTGTCTGCATCATGTTGGCTATTGAAAATGATGCAGCAAATCAGATCTGCCATCAGATGAACATTAGAAGGAGCCTCTGCAGCAGCAGTGATGATATCACTACTCCAAACAGATTAAAGGAAGTTATAGACTTATGATATGAACATTTTAATGTCACGATTATCAAAAGAATTGCGATTTACGATGTTATCCCGATTATCATCTAAATAAGCCTAAAACTCTTGAAATGTAACTAAAAAAGTGAACTAGTGAAACTATTTTAAATAAGGTCATAAATCAAAATGTCCCCCTGCATAAATAGAGTTTATCTTAACACGATATATCTCACACTATGATGTACAAACAACCATTTCTTCAGTTGTATCAGTATGTAACGTTACCCCTTAACCTTAAAAAAATACAGTAAATATCCTTTACCAAAAATACAGTCCAGCTGGCATTGTGGCATTCATCAAACATGGCTGCTGGCCGCGTGGCCTGCAGAGACTCTGTTTTAGTTAGCATCATGTGTGCTTCTTCTAGCTAACAGAGCTAATCGCCAGGCAGATGCTAGTGTGTGTGTGTGTGTGTGTGTGTGTGTGTGTGTGTGTGTGTGTGAGAACAAAGACTAGTAATAAATGATGGATTGTACATCTTGTGTTTAATCCCTGTGTGAGTGTGTACTGCTACACACCGAGTACCTGGTACACAGTTTGCTTCAGATTCACATGGCTTAACAAATACACACTTTAGGTTACTAAACATTTCTACAGCCTTTAAAAATGTTGAGGTCGCTCTCATGCCATTTTAAGGTGTGACCAGTGGGTAAAGGTGTGATCCAGTGTGTAGTTTGCATTAGGAAGTGCATAGAAAACAGTGCAGCAGATAATCCCACAGAGCAGCTAACGGCAGACGGACACATTTGTCGAGCGCTGACTTTGATTTTAGAATCGGGTTGAATTCTGATTCTGGCGCATCAGGTGTTGTTTGTTCGGTTTGAGGTCACGTCGCCTGGTTAATTACCTGAATATCTGCAGCAATAATGGGTTTCTGTCGAGTCACATGTTTTCCCCCACTGGTTCTACACAAAGCCCCGCCCTACCGAGTTGTGATTGGCTAATACTCTTCACTTCGACACATCCTTGTGATTGGACGCTAGCTTGAGATCTTCAGCGCTCCCTTAACATGAGGTTAAATGGAGCGGCATCACCTCCGTAGACATAAGGACTTAAATACTCAACGTCAGTAGGATCAACAGAAAAACCAACGCATCCAATCACAAGGACGCGCTGAAGTAACGAGCCAGCCAATCACAGCACAGAAGGGCGAGACTCGGTTTAAAACCTGTGGAGGGGAAATAACGTGTTATTAACAGTAGTGAGTTCAATTTTATATTATTGTTTAAGATTGTTTGTAACTTTATAAAATGGATCAGTGGGTCCGTGTTCGTGTTCAGTGTGAGCTCCACCCGAGGTCGGTCGCCGGGAAGCCATTTAAAATCATAGAAGACTCTTTTTCGGATGAAAGTTTAAAAAATCCTGCTGGTTTTGGATTGTTCAACCAACTTAAGTGATGTTTAAAGATCTCAAGTCTTGAGGTCGGGTCACTGCCAGCCGATCTCTGAAAGATTTATTAAAACATGTTGGATTTTCGTCACTGTTGTTGACGACTGATGATGACGGAGACGCACCTGTAAACAAAGCTCCACCTGAAGTTCCCTCTGTGGCCCCCGGCCAGGCTCCCACCACACTCTGTGCTCTTCGCCTCCTTTTTTTTTGACCTTTCCTGCACAAACGTCTCTGCATGTGAACAAGCTGCTGGTTGGCATCCAAGTTCATTCTGGTACAAGAACTCGTGACACTTTGAATGAATTCCTTGGCTTCCTCCTCTCTCTTCTTCTGTCCCAATGTTGTATTTCTACCTCTCCCCACAAATCACTTTCTCTCCCTCTCCCTTTCCTCTCACCCCCGTGTTTCTTTTTCTACCTCTCTCCACCGCTTCCCCTCTCTCTCTCTCTCTCTCTTCTCTCTCTCTCTGTCTCTCACTTCACTGCACAACAACAGTCCCATGTTGCTCTCTCTCTCTCTCTCTCTCTCTCTCTCTTACGTGCCCTCTCTCCACCCCTTCTCTCTCTCCCTCTCTCTCTCTCATCCATTAGCAGGAAGAACAGATCGCTGACAGACGAGAAGAGACGAGACGGCCGAGGCAGACGGAACAGAAGAAGAAAGAGAGACCGAAGAAGAGAGAAAAACGACTAAGAAGAGAAGCAAAGCATCATGGACGCTCTGAAGAAGGGATTCTCCATGGCAAAGGGTGGAGTGGTGGCCGCCGCCGAGAAGACGAAGGCCGGCGTGGAGGAGGCCGCGCCAAAACCAAGGAGGGGGTGTTATATGTTGGTGAGAGGGCGGATGGATGGATGGATGGATGTAAAGTGAAATTCAACAACAAGTTGTACATTTTATTGTAAGAGTTTGAGTTTTCTCGTGGTGAAAAGTGAGATGAGTGGATGAAAAAGTAAAAGCTGGGATAGAAATGAGGATAGAAAAGACAAGTGGAGGAAGAGAAAATGTGAGGGGATGAAGGGATAAATGGATGAAGGGATGAATGGATGAAGGGATGGAGGGATGGAGGGATGAATGGATGGAGGGATGAAGGGATGAATGGATGAAGGGATGAAGGGGTGAATGGATGAAGGGATGGAGGGATGAATGGAGGGGACAGGGGACGAACAAAAATAGGATTTAGCAAAGAAAAAGTTCAATATGAGATGAAATGTTTTTGATGGGAATTGAAGGGACGGAAGGAGGGACATGTGGAGGACAGGAAGCTGAATGTTAAAATATTTAATGTGGAATTTGTCGTCGTGCATTAAATTTGAAAATGGGTGTGTCTACTTGAAAGGAAAGAGGAACAGACGAGGGAGGTACAGAAGAAAGGATGGAGAAGAATTATCGCACCAAAGTGCACATAAACTTCTCAGATCTGTAGGGTTGGTTTGGGAGGAGGAAGGAGGGATGGGTGGGGTGAAATTCAACAGCAAGCTGTGATGGGGGGGGGGGGGGGGGCAAAGGAAAGAAGCTGAATACTAAAATATTCAGAGTGTAATCCATTCTGATGATGTGCATTAAATTAGTTTGCAGCAGGAGCGAAGGAAGAAAGGATGGAAGGTCAGAAGGAAGGACAGGAAGGAGATGAATCAGCAGGAAAAAGTTCAGTTTGATCAAATGAAACGTTCAGCTTTTATTTTGGTGGGTTACGAGGGAGGGATATGATTTATAGATGATGTGTGTTTCCTGCATCTTACACACAGACAGCTGTGACTTCACACAGCGCAGCGCTCAGTGATTAATCAGTGATCACTAATCGCCGTCTCGTGCTCGGCGTAACGTGGCGGCAGCTTTTTCAGGAAAGTTTTCAGGACATGTCGCCGGGAAAACGACGTCTATGGCAGCGCGGTCGACACAGTTTAGGTGTTAGCGCGGGAAGGGCGTGGCTGAGGGGGTGCAGCGCCCCCTGCTGGCCAAAGTGAAGCACTGTTCACGTTCAGGTGCTTGTGGATGAAATATTCTGTGTGAAACAGGCATTCAAGGGTTAATGGTTCAGTTTTCCGTCCCCCTTCTTTAAGACTAGACTGAACTAGACTACCTAACTAAACTCACGGCTGGTTACTTTCTATTTTACAGAACAGAGAAACAGAGAACAACTGTACTGCTTTGAAAATAAGGACAGAAGAAATGAACACACACAGACGGGCTGTTTTCTGTTGACATGACAAAACACACACAGGCCCACAGGAAGTGATGTCACACTCCCCGTGCCGGTGTATTTTACTCGCCCGAGAGTGTCGGGTCCAATCAGGTTTAGGAACGGTTCATGTTGATGTCTGAGTGGAGGAGAGAGCTGTCAGTCATCTGTTTTTCAGCCGGTTGAAGCCTCGTGTTTGCACCATATGTTTTACAGACTGTGTTCACACCTCTTGTTTGGTTCAGTTGAATCGATCTCAGGTTTGTTTCCCCTCTTGGTGAGGATGTGTGGACCAAACAACCATAACGAGACCCAGATAATATAAGTTCTAATTCTGGTGTTGTTCGTTTAAGGTGTGAACGTGGACCGGCCTCAATCCGACCCAACTGCAGACAGAACTGCACTTTTTTGGAGTGAACTCGTAGCGCTCTTGTGGTTTGACCTGAAGCTCTGAAGGGACGTGCTGTCTGATTTATCACAGCTACTAGACAGGATTAAAAAAAAATGCTGATGTGTTCAGTGAACAGACGAAGAAGAAGGGATTTGAGCGAAGTGCTGCATAAGAAAGAAAAAGTGCAAACTTTGCACTCAGAAGATCTCCGTCGTTTTCAGGCTTCCTGCTTTTCCCCGCTCCTGAATATCTGTCCAATGAATGGATGACTTGCAAAAAGGGCAGCGTGGAAGCCAAACAAATTGGATTTGGTCCGGAACAAATCAAGTAGACTTTCCAGGTGGAATGAAACCTGAGATCAGTCTGGTTCAAACACCAGAGAAGAGATCTGAGTGGAGCCCAATCAAACATATTTCTCTAAATAAAAATGCTCAACTTCTCCCTGATGCTGTTTGGTTCTCTTGAACTTTTTTCTGTGTGAAAAGAAACTGAACCAACCAAGAAAACAAAGTTTACCAACTCACCCGATGATTCAGACCACAGCCAGGAAAACACACAACGTGTTTTAGGTTAAAGGTCATCGTTGCATCGCGACTTTGGGAATTGGGTGAAGAAATGTTCTTTCCACAGAAACGTCCCGTTGTCGTCTGACAAACAGCATTTTTGTTAAACTGCCAAGTAGAACATTAGTTTGAACCCAGAATGCGGACTGGATGCAGGACTAGACCGAAGATGTTTCACTGAGACCCAACATTTCCCACCATGAGAAAGCGCTTGGCCACAGAGGCAAGACCTTTAACAGGCAGAAGCCTCCATCAGAACCTGGACTCAGGGTGGGCGGCGCTTGCTGGTCCTGCTGTTATTACAGAAGTGACCGCAGACACTCGACTCGCCCGTGAACTCTCCGTGATGTTGAACCTGGGGCTTATGGGAAACAGTGTTCATAAAAGGCCACTGAAAACATGCACTGTAGATTAATTTACCGTCCTGACTGCTGATCTAAACGTGAAGAGAGCCACACGACATACTGTTGACTTTTACTTATTAGAACAAGCTACATTTCTGGAGCAGAACTTTACCCAGAAGCTCTGGTTTCACTTCGGTTCTCTATTCTTAGATTCTTTAGAAGTTTTTCTTGAGCTGTGTTGTTATCTGGATCTAAAGAGTTCCTCCTCTCTGACTCCACCACTTCCTGACATTTCAGACTCCGTGTGGACAGCGGACATTTGCCAAAGATGAACGATATGACTTGTTTATAGATCATAATTGCAGTGATACACGAGCAGGAAAAGACGGACACGTCCATTACAGGAGATAAAACCTGCGTTCTCATCAAATATGCATTATATCTGGTAAAAGCCGCCTTCCTGGAACCGATGCAGAGCAGCAGATCCACGTCACGCTCTGCCTGTTTGGAAGCAGCTGCTGCGTTTCCACAGTGTGTTTCTGTGTTTGTGAATGTGTTCACTCAGACAAAGACTCTGTTCAGTCGGATCCGTCACATGTCTGAGCAGCACGACGCCCACCGGGAGAACCATCACCCTGGACCTGGATCTGGACCAAACACCCAAAACAAGCCGAGCGTTGAAGGCAGTTCCTTTGAAGTCCACTGGATACTGAGCCTAATTAAAATGATCACACAGACGACTGCTGGAATTTAATTACTGTACTTTAGTAAAACTTTGAGGTACTTTACCTGACAAATATCCTAAATATAGGCCATAAAACGCTGGTGCGTACGGGCTGACTGTTCTGAGGGAAATGTTGTAATTTTTACTCCACTACATTTATTTGTCAGCTTTAGTTATTGGTTACTTTAAAACAAAATATGATTCATATTCAACAACAATCAACTGATAAATTATGATGGAACTTTATTATGAAGCTGCCCAGCTGTGAGCTCCACTTTTACCAGCTGCTACTCAATAAATACACCGTAAACTGAATTGACCCTGCCTATATTTGGGAAAGACCTTTAATTCCTTTTGCACAAAACTGAAATCGACTACTTTTAAACAGTTTATTTAATAGACAGGCGGCTTATGCACTTTTATTTGGAAGGCAGCAACGTAACGAAAATAAAAACACGGTGCAGGATGAGAGGTTTTATACATCCAACCGTGGAGACCTGCACTTATTTGTCAACATGTGTTCCCACACCAGGCCAGGCTATTTGGGACTCTGCTATTAATTGAAGTTTCACGGTTTATATAAATGCATCAATAACTCATCATCACTTGACATCAGTAATATATATGTATATATTAATCTACATAATGAATACTTTTACTTTGATGGTAATACTTAACATTTTGAATGCAGGACTTTTACTTGTAACAGAGTATTCCTACACCATTGTATTACATCTTTTGCTTACGTAGAGGATCGGAGTCCTTGTTCCACCGCTGCTTTGTGTAAACCGGGTGACATGAATAAATAATTCAGAAACCAGCTGAGCTCCGTTTGTCTCTGCAGAGGAAAGCAGGTCAGATTCACACTCAGCTGCAACAGCTGTTTTTATTTTACCCTCAGCTCCGTCTTTTCTACACTTAAACATCTGAGTGAATGTGAACTTCTGATCTGGAGCTTGACTGTGAAAACACAGAGGTTGGGGGGGGGGGGGGGGGGGGGGTCACCTACCTGTACTAAGTCTTGCATGATAAATTCAGGATAATGAACATTTCCACAACTGATTCTGTTCAACAAATGAAATGATCTGTGTCCGTACTGAATGGGGTTTAACCTGTACATGAGCAGGACCAACCAGAAGTTATTCAAGTGTGAATTTGAAGTTACTACATTATTAGAAAACTAGTGACTGTTTTATTAAAAGGTTCCTATATTTATAGTTTATTAGAAAAAAAGACATTTTACTCTGGTGATACTCGTACTGGTAAAAAGTACATTATCTGTACCGGCTACGCGTTTCAACCCCACACGACACTTTCTGCAGATGATAAAATTAAACGAGAGAAGTTATACACCTTTAAGGCCTGGAAGGTTTTTAATTTGTGTTGAGTTTCATTGCAAGCAGCTTAAGAAGGATTATAGAAAACAGCAGAAGCAACTGGACATAATGAGTGAGTGAAAACAGATTAGTTAAAGAGAGAAAGTGCTATGAGCAGACTGACAGGACTGACATCATACTGAGCTCATGAGGTGCAGGTGGACCAAGTGTTCAGGAGCAGATCAGAAAACAGGACTCCTACCAACATTTCTAATGTTCTAATAAAACAGTGCAGACTTGGCTCTACGTAAAATAATCTGAACGTTCACAGGTTATAATTTGTTTGATTTCATTTATTTCAGCAACCATGTTTTTTCCCTCCTGTCCAGGAAACAAGACGATGGAGGGAGTGGTGACCGGCGTGAACACAGGTAACCAAACACACAACAAACGAACAAACAGTTTCACCGTCACAGACATTCCTTTGTTTAGTTTCTTTATTTGTTGGAATGATAATCCTGAACAAACAAATCCAATGTAAAGGAGATTAAGTGATGCTGAACAGCATTTTATATCTTCTTCCTGTTTCCTGTCGTCCAGTTGCCCAGAAGACCAACGAACAGGCCAACATCGTCGCAGACACCGCGGTTACCGGGGCCAACGAGGTTGCCCAGGCAACAGTGGAAGGGGTGGAGAATGCAGCGGTGGCGAGCGGATTCGTCAGCACGGTGAGAGACGTCACATCACGTGACCCCAGTCAAATAATCTATTACGGTGTTCTAACATATTTAAATATAAGTTATTATAGTTTGTTTCTTTTTAAGTAACACAAACAAAAGATTCAATTCAATGTTCACATTGTTCTGGCATTACAGAGGCGGTTGTTGCAGGTATTTAACAAGAACGTCTAAAAGACATTTTATTTCATGTAGTTATTCACATTTACATTTTTCTGTTTGTTCATAAAACATTGTCAAATTTCATTTTTCAACTTTGCTCATTAACAAAATACTTTGATTTAATTTAATTTAACTTATTAAGTTTTACAAAAACATGCCTGGCTGATAAATATATGCAGCATAAAAGACAAAGTATGAATTACATTTCCCTCTGTCACTATTTAAACAGTCCTCCTGTTGTTAATATGTTAATCTGTGTTGTGTTGGTAACATTCATTTTTTTGTCTTTACTCACAAATGTCTGGTGACTGGCTGGGAACAGGAGGAGGCGGGACCAAAGGCTGAGGAGGTGCCTGATTGGTCGGGGGAGGTTGAGTGATTGCATGGCATGAGGCTCTTTGCCTGATGTGACTTTCTGGCTTTTCAGGACTCACAGCTTCATAAATCCGCTGCTCGTCAGAGGAAGTGAACTGGATTCAGAGCGGCTCAGTACATGTTGCATATCAGGGAAACTGCATGCAAAAGTACTCTGTTACAAAAATATATTAAAAGTATCAAAAGTAAAAGTACTTATCAGGATGCAGAAAGGCTCCTGTCGCTGTGATGCAACAGGATCATATATTATCCGATTCATTATTTCTAGTTTAAACCTTTTTCTGACATTTTTTAATGTCTTTAATTACTTGGCAGATAAATGTAGTAGAGTACAATGTAACTGAAACTTAACTTAGTTACTTCCCACTGCTGTTTTCTGTTCTTCTTTTGGCTTCATTATTAGAAATGTTTTGAGTTCAACATAATGAGTTGGACTATAATCACCTTCACTTATTATAACGGGCTCACTTTGTGTGTTTTCAGCTGTCTCATAATTTGTTTTACATTTTTAATGTCACTTAGGCTGCAGAAATGTATTCAAGTATGTTAAAATACTGAATCATAAAATACCTGTGTTCCATTTGATTTTAGCCAAATCAGCCAAAACCCCAACATATCCAGAAGAAATAACTTTAATCAATCAATAACCAGGCCACAGGGGGCTAATTAAATAAAGGAAGCTGTGAAAAGCTGCACTTAGTAATTGTACCTTCAAATCTCAAACTCTGGCCTTCTCCTCTTGGCTGGTCCCTGGTGCCAGGTCTTCACCTCATCATGTCTCTTGCTCTGTAAAGACTACTACTCTTTAATAGTAGTATTTTTATTAGTAGTACTTATAGTGATAGTAGTATCGTAGCAGTAATAACAGTAACTATAGTACGAACAGAGCAGCAAACAGACAGATTAACAGATATTTCATCAGGAATCCAACATGGCTGCTAATGTCAGAGTGACGATCGTCATAAAACTAACAAAGCACGAAGAAGAATGATGCATGGCAGAAAAAATGCACGTGACGCCTTTCTGTACTAACAGCCGCACCCTTTATTAAGAGAAAGGTTACCTTGGCTATTTCTTTACAGTTTATAATTACGTGTCTTCTTTCTTAGTTTATTTAATGAATTGTTGTCCTGAAAAGTCTAGGAAACAAGGAAACAACTCTGGGAAAAAAGGAAACAAGGAATCAAGTCTAGGTAACAAGGAATCAAGTCTAGGTAACAAGGAATCAAGTCTAGGAAACAAGGAAACAACTCTGGGAAACAAGGAATCAAGTCTAGGAAACAAGGAATCAAGTCTAGGAAACAAGGAATCAAGTCTAGGTTACGGGGAAAATAAAGAACAAGTTGAAAATAAGCAGTAAACTTTTTGGGATGTAGAAATGTTTCCTGTTGCAGGATTGAGTGGCACCAACATGAACGCTGCACTTTCAACATAAACAACAACTAACTGTCTCTTTCAGCTTCGCTCATCTTTGGCTTCATCTCACTTTTCCCAACAGAAAGATTTCTGCACGGGGGGGCAGCTCTCCTCTGTTTTTACTCTGCTGTAGTACCATCGTATCCTAATGAAGTTACTCTTCTCCCAAAGCAAAGGATCGTTAAAAGATTAAATCAGATGAGACTGGTTAGACTGGTTAATGTGACCGCACACAGCCTTTTAAACGGGCTGCTTTGTTTTAGCTTCTGTCCCACAGACCCAGACTTGCCAGAGCAGGTAAATCGCAGGTGTAGCTGATAACATTAAGAACTGCTTCATTCTGTTTAAGCCAAAGGACAAAGCAGAAGAAGCTGAAACCTACAAAGCAACATAAACTCTGCAAGAACGCCAACCGTCACCAAAACAAACACGGACGGCAACCAGCAGCTGGTTCACATGCAGCTGAAACTGGACCACCTAAATGGAGCGCAGCCATTATTCCTGTAACTAATGACACGGGTCTACTTGTTGGGGGAGAAATGTATCTTTGTGAATGAATGGATTTGTATGGATGTGAAGATTGATGGCCGCCATGTGACCTCTGCTCTGTCTCTCCTGCAGGCCGACCTCCCAAAAACAAAAGCAGGAGAACAGACTGAAGAGGCTGCACAGTAGGTGAGAAAGCCTCAGAAAACATTTTGGACATTTGGTACAGTGGCTTTTATCAAATAGGAGGAAATAGTGAATCTGTTGAAGATGTTACCCCCAGAATGTAGGTGGGACTCTTTGCAACGCTATGTGAAACTGCCGTGACATCATCTTCAACGCGACACAAACACAGGATCTCTGGCTGCACCCAAACAGAGTAACGTCAGTACTTCATCATTTTAAATCTGGGTGAAGTGAATAAAAAAGTCCTGACTGATGGTAGCGTGGCTTGGTAAGAATGTGCAGGATGTCCCGTGTCGTGCAAGTGACGAGTCACTCTCACTGGTCTGCAGTGTTTTAGCTTCACCTTTAAGTTCAGCTCGCTTGGAATACCAAAAAGAGTACCAGACTTCTGCCAATGGAAAACCAAAAAAAAACAACAACCCGGAAACCGGCTAAGCCTGCCTAGCATACTGCTAAATGAATCCATTTAACCGTCTTAGACTGCTATGAAATCTATTGGTTATGAATACAGCCCTTTTTTTAAATGGCCGGAGATTTATCTAAATATCAAACCACGAATAGTAATAGTATCCGAAAGTATAAGTGTCTCTTTAAATTATGAAAATGTCACAATTTCTCTGTTCATTGCTTTTAATCTAATTAAATTGTCTTCTCTTTTATTTGTTTTCTTTTTCTCTCTCGCAGTCACTTCCTGTTTCGTCCCGTCCAATGAGAGAAGAGGAACCATCACATTTTTAGCCGTCACTAAACCCTTGACCTCTGACCCTCCCTAACCCCACAATATTCTTCAGCTGCTGTGTGTAACTAAACCTCATTAACCAATAGAAGCCCTCCTCCTGTGCCATGGTTGCATGGTCTCTGCATCACACTCATCGTACACACTGATGTCAGTTTTTAACGCTCAGATGAGATGAATTTAATCAGGTTGTGGACTCTCAGCTTATTGGTCGGTGTGGGATGACATCACCCAGGCCGAGTGTTCATATTTGATGCTGCAAGTGTCCTACAAGCCCCGCCCCCGCCCTGACCACGCCCCCTGACAGACATATCTGAAGCCTTTTAAATGCATGTTGCTTTACTGACTTACTGACTTAAAATACTAGAAAACCCAAAAAACTAATAATAAACACACACACACACACACACACACACACACACACACACACTTCTGTCTGTCGCTTCAGAGCTTCTTTTACAAAACAACAGAAGTGAAATAAACACGAGTTTGAAATCCACCTGCACATCTTTGTTTCTTCTTCACAGTTTCACTGTTACATTGAAAAAGAATATTATAACAATAGAATCAACACAAGTGATAATTAATGTCAAACCACCAAATTATATTTAACTTTAATATTTAAGTGCCTCCTGAAGGATAATAATTCAGTCAGGCTTTAGACGTGCTGTGCTGCAGTCTTTGTAGATCCTGTCTGAATCTTTTGGTTCTGTTCATCACAACATTTTGTTAACTCAGCTGCTTTCTGTGAGTTCTGATGGATGATGCTTCTGCTTACAGCTGGTTTAAATGCCGTCTCTCTGCTGGAGTTCAGACTGTTGATGATTGTTTCAAATTTAGTCCCAAAATGGTTGATAAAGGTGTCCCTCAAGGATCAATATTAGGGCCCCTGCTTTTTACTCTGAGCATAAAAATCATGCATAAATCTTGGAAGAGCCTTCAGTCTTCTCCAGAGCGCACTCTGCTTTTAAAAGCCTCCAGATGTCCCCATTTAATTTACAGTTTATTCTGAACTCCAAAAAAACTAAATGTGTAAATTTCACAAGTGTGAACCATTAAAGTCTCCTATCCTACACACGCTCTACATGGAAATCTAACTGATGCAGAACACCATTATCAATAATTTAGTGAGACAGCAGATTGTCCTACAATATTCATGTCGAACATCTTGCTCCAAATGTACATTCTGAGTTGGATTCTGAAACAGAGCTGGTTCCTGCTCTATTTAAAACATGGACGCTGTCTTCATTCATCAGACTCATCTCTGAGTTATATGTAAGGGTCAGGCTTATGTGTAGGGGAGCAGATGTTAGCTCGGAGTTTTAAAACATATACTGTGAACATTTTTTAAAAATGTTCACAGTATATTTGAAGCTGCAATAATCAATTTTTAGCACTAGAGGGCAGAAAAGCTCCAAAAGCTGCTTTCATGTTGATTTATTCACTTCAGCACAACGTGTCTGAAATTACAGACATATTTCCTAAATCAAACTCCTGCAGAAACCTTTTGTGATATAAGAGCAGACATGAACTCACAATGGGCGGTTTCTGTCTGCACCTGACTGCAGAAACTGGATCAGTCTGATTTATTTCCACCTTCATCACATTCCACCGCTCAGATTTCTGTCTGTCACACAGACAAAGCTCAGCAAGATGCAAAAAGACAGTATTTAAATATATGCAGAAAATGAAGATATTCTCACATTAAAAGGAGGAAAGTATTGAATGAAAGACCAACTTTAAGAAAAATAAGAATATCATAATAAACAATGAAAAAGTTACATTTTTAATTTTATTTAGCAGCGAGAAACAAGCTTTGTTTTAAATAAAGACCTAAATGATAAATAATAATAAGTTTGTCCTGTTCAGAGACATTTCCAGATGTCGTTACTGTCGTGAACATCACGCGTCTGTACTTCTATACTTGTGAGCAGTGATGGAGTAAGAACTGTACTGCGTTCTTCACTTCTTTTGTGAATCTCCCAAAGAGGTTTAATCCCCTGAAGTTAAAACTGAATGATCAAGCGGCCCCGCCGTGTGTGACGGACAAATAAAACTCTCACATCTTAATGTATTACTACTATATTTACTACTGCTGCTGCTGTTGTTCCTGAATGTTTGCAAGCTGCAGGATTTACTGTTTGCTATTTACCAAACATTTCATTAAATACTTCTTTGTATAAATCTGCTGCTGCTTTAGTTTAAACTTACAGTCACTGTCCCTTTAAGGCAAACAAATGCACATGATTGCGTGTGAGTAAACTGGTTCAGGGTTATTAATAACTTTCAGTGCTGATTATGTTTCGTAGTTGTGGCTTGGATGTGTCGGTTCATTTCTCCTCCCTGCAGGATCTCCCAGACAGACGAGTGTGTGACTGATGGAACTTTTTAAAAACGACCTTGAACACTTCACAAACCTGTTTCTCTGACAGCAGCTCAGCTATTTCTCTCTGCTGTTTTGCCTTTATTATCGAGCTCTGTGGGAGAACAGACGAGTGTTACCACGTCGTAAACATGACTGACAGCTGTCAGCTAAACAGATAATAACTGCCTCCAGCTCCTGTGTTTCCAGGCGGTGCCAGAAGTACTCTGACTGTTCTACTTCAGTAAGACTACTTAAAACACAGAGTAGAAACACTCTGTAACAAGTAAAAGTAACAGTAAAAGTCCTGCTTGTAAAAGCACAAATGCATCAATATGTACTTAAAGATCATTATGTAGAATGTCTCATTTCAGAATATCAAAAAATAATTTGATGAGATTTATAATTATTGAAGCATTGTTGTGTTCTTAACAAATCGTCTAGTTAATCTAAAATGAATCTGGATTATTTAAAGAGTCATATGTTTACTGCTGTTGCTGAAGAATCAGTGTGCTGAGGACGCTTAAGACGGCTTAGATCATCGATGATTCAAACTAAGCTGAATACTGCGGCCACGTGTCACGAGCACCAGGAGAAACTGGACAGACTAGACCTTGAAGGAATATGCGTCTTTTATCTGTGTGAACAAAGAGCACAAAAGGATCCTTTGTCTGAAGAATGGCGAGTCAAAACAGCTGTCAACGCCTGGAGAAAATGAGAGCAGAGCAAACGCTGCACACTTGAGTTTACTTGTGAACATGTAAATAAAAACAAGACTTTGCTAAACCTTGGACACAGTATCTGAACTTGTCTTTACATGACAATGCACAGATTTATGTGTGTGGTTCATGGTCCTACTTTTTCTGTCACCACAGACAGTCAAACAGGAAAAGGTAAAAAAGACAAAAAAGTAATACAATATACTGACAGACATTATGGTAATAAATAAATAAATAAAACGTGCTTCCCACGTGTTTTTTAATATTTGTGAATGGCAGGAAATTAGTTTTCAAATTTTTATTGTTTCTGCGCTGATTTGATCTGAGGAAGACCATGTGATGTGATCAAAAGCTCCAGACCAGCTCCTGATCTGATCCCCGTGATCAGATTGTTTCTGTCAGTTGCTGTAAACTGTAAACTCCCAGCATCCACTGCTCCTGTGTGAGAGACGGTCTCTGTGGAGGAACCTTTTTCGGGTATTTGCATTTTGGAACATCAAACAAATGTTTTCATGTCAGACCAGGTCTCGTTGGCACGGAGACACAACACAGACACGTGTTCCATACCTGCTGGGTGAGGCCCGTCACATCCATTAAACACACACACGTTTGATTGTACACCTGGCCCGGAGCAACACCTGTACTCCAACAGACACCTGATCCTCCTCGCCGGCAGCATCAACAGAAACAACCTGCGTTGTCATGAAGCAGGAGGACAGGTCTGACTGCAGAGACCACTCTGACAGCAACATGTAGCGCAGTCAACTTCAAAACTTCAAAACTCAAAGAAAAGAAATGACTGGATACATTAAACCAGTCCAAGAGTACAAAGAGCTGCAACAGTCGATCTGAACGGTCCCAGAGGAACAATCTTTTGCTCAGAATGGTCTTTTCTTTATCTCTTGAGAAAACACTAAGATCTCAATAGTAAATCTTTTTGAGGTCACTCCAATCGGAACTGTTGCTCCTCAAAGCCCTGAGGAGAAAAGGATGAGACGAAGAGAGACTGAGGTTTTGAGACTTGGGTAAGACAGACCCAGCTCCTGCTGTTCAAACAACACTGCCGCTGCGCCATCCAGCTAAAATTAATAATGAAGCACTGATTGTCTTTAAATAGAGTAAAATTTTCTTTTACTTAAAAAAGGAGAAACACCATATCCACAATTAAAGTCCTCAAAATTCTACTCAAGGAATAGTATCAAAAGTAAAAGTGCTCATTCTGTAAGACAGATACATGTTGTATCTCAGTTCTTGTCATTTCAAAGTGCATTATTTTCAATGTCTAAATTTATTTTATTTTTCTCACTAACTTGTAACAGATAACTAACAATAAATACAATAAGGATTTGAAATGAAGGCGAGTAAAAGTACAAGCCTCCATAAAAAGAAAATACTCAACCTCAACATTTGACGTAAGTAAAGTACTTGAGTAAAATAACCCTAAGTGGTCTTGGAGCTTTTTTTCTGATCTACATTCTGGACTGAAATTACACTTAGTTAAGATCAGTTAGAGATCTTTTGTTTTGATTTGATATGGTTGTTTCTCCTGAGATGAATTTGAGAAGTGGGAGAAAAGGCCTTTGGTCTCAGCTTGGTATTAAAAGCAGCTCATTTGTGTCTCGGAGAAACTATGAGATCTCATCTTGGATCTTGCTTTCTTACTGTGTTTATTGTTATGACCCCAGGCCCACTCCTCCTATGTGGAAACCTACTTGGCAACAACAAACGAAGTGAATGTGGCTGGTTGCAGGAGGAGACGTGGGCGATGCTTCCCACCTCTGCTGCCCCCGATGTCCTGAGGGTATCCCTGATTCATTGGAATGAATCATCCTAAATATCCCAATTATCAACATGCCTTCATGTGAACATGTTGTGTTAGGTCACGCAGCCTTTTTAAAATTCTTCTGAAGGGAGGAAACCATATAAGGAAGACACACCCGAACACGTGACTGTGCAGCCACACCTGATTCCTCAACAAGGCGAGACCAGAGAGGCGTCACCCGCAGGGAGGAGGACACCTGCTATA